AATTTCACCGAAGGAAACGCGAGAAAATTCACTGTCAGTTTTGCTTTTTGTGCTCATGTTGACGTCAGAAAATATCCAAAAACACTGACGTTTTCCTTCCAGCGCGCGCAGATTACTTGATCTTTCGTCCTCAGCGCGCGTGCGATCGTAAAACTATAGGGAGCCACCTTAAGTTACTTTTAGACATGGTACCCAGTTCCTCCGAGGATGTTACTCGCGCGATGTGTGTGTGAACAGCCGAAGCGAAACCTTCTCGAAACTACCTGAGACGAAATAGCTGGAACGTCATTTTATATGTTTTAGTTTCGTTTCATAGGAGAGATATTTTCTGCACTCTCAGCCGTCTTTCTGTTCGGCCGGGCTTTCGTTTGTTTATAGCTCGTTTGTCTGTTCATTATTTCGCCGTTTATTCGGTTTTAGGGGGTTTAATTAAGCAAACTTTAACGGCAACGGCAACGAGTACAATGGCTGTGTAAGCGTGCGTTATAATTCTTTGTTCATTCCTTTGTCGCGTTGTTTACAGAAGGTCACAAAACAACAACGTGAAATAGCCACAGTCTGCATATTTGAGAGAACGTGAACTATATGGCCAGTTTTTAAAATGTCTTTTTCGAATTTTGACGCCGTCTTACATATTCTGTTTGAGATATTTCTGACAAACTGAATGAATCTAAATCTCGCGAGATTCGTAGGTTGAATATTAAGTCGCTTTTTAATCTACGTTGTCTTTGGCGTTTTTGCTGTTGCTGCTTAAACTTCTTTTTGCATCTTAGGCAGCGAGCGTCTGCCTGCACTTTCGACCCTCTCTTTGTTCGGTTGCCTGGCTTGTGCTTGGGTGTTTGTTTGCTTTGCACTCATTTGTCTAAAGGCATTTGTCTGCCGTTCATCCAGTTGTTATTGCTTGCGCAGGGGAAATCCGTCTCTTATTTAAACTCCTGGTAAAGTTTCGAAATGTATTAAAACATACCGAGATTGCTTGTAATCAAAATATCAAAGAAGATATCCCCACAGCGTTGCCTATATGGGGGATTTACTCTCTTACCTTGATAATCTCTTGCTGTTATTCATCTCCCTAGTCGGCCCCAGGCCAAGGGGAACAGCCAGTGAAATATGTTTTTACAAGTTAGTGAGGTGCATTCTAAGTAGAAGCAGGCGTGGCAGTGCGCTTCTCTCTCTTTTTTTTGGTTGAAATGCATTTGAAAAAGAAAAGTTCAGACGTGGAGGTTTGATAATTGACTCTTTTTATATGTGGGTTGCCCTAATATACAGACTTGGCTGTTGAGACATTGGGGTAGCAAGTTTCTGACCCTGCTCCGAGGGATCAGGGATGTCTTTGGTAGCCTGGGTCGCAATCAGTCTAAACCGCCGGTATGGATTTTGTGACATGTCCGGCTGCAACGCAGGCTAGACTTCGGGTACTACAATTTTCTTTCAACATTTCCAAATTCGTACTCAACTTGGAGAGAGAAAAGGCATGAAAACCAGCTATGGCTGATTTTGCTCCTGTTTAAATACTTTAAATTATTTAAGACGGGAGCCTTGATCGCTCGCTAGCGCTATTTTGCAGGTGGCCTCATATCATACCTGGCATTGTTTTATGGCGCGGGCCGACCAGCGCTAATTGGGGAACTGGCACTACTTCACAGCTGGTAACCGCTGATTGGTCAAGCTGCAAAAACGTGGCCCTTGATTCCAAAATGGAGGTCGAACTTAGGGAAGCNAGCAAACTTTAACGGCAACGGCAACGAGTACAATGGCTGTGTAAGCGTGCGTTATAATTCTTTGTTCATTCCTTTGTCGCGTTGTTTACAGAAGGTCACAAAACAACAACGTGAAATAGCCACAGTCTGCATATTTGAGAGAACGTGAACTATATGGCCAGTTTTTAAAATGTCTTTTTCGAATTTTGACGCCGTCTTACATATTCTGTTTGAGATATTTCTGACAAACTGAATGAATCTAAATCTCGCGAGATTCGTAGGTTGAATATTAAGTCGCTTTTTAATCTACGTTGTCTTTGGCGTTTTTGCTGTTGCTGCTTAAACTTCTTTTTGCATCTTAGGCAGCGAGCGTCTGCCTGCACTTTCGACCCTCTCTTTGTTCGGTTGCCTGGCTTGTGCTTGGGTGTTTGTTTGCTTTGCACTCATTTGTCTAAAGGCATTTGTCTGCCGTTCATCCAGTTGTTATTGCTTGCGCAGGGGAAATCCGTCTCTTATTTAAACTCCTGGTAAAGTTTCGAAATGTATTAAAACATACCGAGATTGCTTGTAATCAAAATATCAAAGAAGATATCCCCACAGCGTTGCCTATATGGGGGATTTACTCTCTTACCTTGATAATCTCTTGCTGTTATTCATCTCCCTAGTCGGCCCCAGGCCAAGGGGAACAGCCAGTGAAATATGTTTTTACAAGTTAGTGAGGTGCATTCTAAGTAGAAGCAGGCGTGGCAGTGCGCTTCTCTCTCTTTTTTTTGGTTGAAATGCATTTGAAAAAGAAAAGTTCAGACGTGGAGGTTTGATAATTGACTCTTTTTATATGTGGGTTGCCCTAATTTACAGACTTGGCTGTTGAGACATTGGGGTAGCAAGTTTCTGGCCCTGCTCCGAGGGATCAGGGATGTCTTTGGTAGCCTGCGTCGCAATCAGTCGAAACCGCCGGTATGGATTTTGTGACATGTCTAGACTTCGGGTACTACAATTTTCTTTCAACATGTCCAAATTCGTTCTCAACTTGGAGAGAGAAAAGGCATGAAAACCAGCTATGGCTGATTTTGTTCCTGTTTAAATACTTTAAATTATTTAAGACGGGAGCCTTGTTCGCTCACTAGCGCTATTTTGCAGGTGGCCTCATATCATACCTGGCATTATTTTATAGCGCGGGCCGACCAGCGCTAATTGGGGAACTGGCACTACTTCACAGCTGGTAACCGCTGATTGGTCAAGCTGCAAAAACGTGGCCCTTGATTCCAAAATGGAGGTCGAACTTAGGGAAGCGTCTGGCTCGAAAGACAGGAAAATCAATAGTGCAGAAGGAAAAACACAGACGATAGGCTGGCAGTCCTTGCTAACTTTCACCATCCTTTCTTTGGCATGGCTGGTGGGTTTCGCAAGCCGGCTTTTTGCTGTGATACGGTTCGAGAGCATTATTCACGAGTTCGACCCTTGGTAAGAGATGAGCCAAGCCGCTCTTTTTTGTTCATTTTACGACCTTTTTCGTCCTCTCCTTGAATGACATCCTTCGGAGTGAACTTTTCTCTTGCAGTAAATATACTCCTCAAGTCTTCGAAATCGCAAAAGAATCGCGCTTTGTTTAGATTTACCGAGCTGGTACATTAAATTTAAATTTTTGACATTTTAAATTGAAGCTTTAAACTTCATCTCTTTTCTGCATTTAAGCTTGCTCAAAAGAAAAATACCCGCAATATTATCTAAAACATGAGGCTTTCGTTGCTCTATTTTTCTAGCCTGGAGTGAATTTTTTATTTTCGCTTTCATCGTCAACATTTGGTTAGTTTCAGGAACTCGCATAATTATTGAATGTGCAGACTGTGACAATATTCCTTCAGTTCAGCTGTTGTCGGTGTTGTCTTGGACATAACGATTGGGAAGAGTTAGTTTGTTAATTAGGCGCCGGGAATTTAAGAACGTTTTGCGATATAGCGACCTTTGCTTATTTTTATTCTTATTCTTGTTTTTATTCTCCTTGCTGGCGGTTTTTTTTTTGCCGCTAAATTCAGGAGATCGCTGTTTATGCAAAAAACGGGAACTACAGTATATAGACTAAATTGAGAGACAGGTACACCGTTGTCTTTTTAAAAACCTAGAACAACGTTTATGCAGGTGCTATCAAGAAATTATATGCAACAGAAATCAGATTTATAAAATCGACTTTTCTTAACACTGAAAAAGCTCTTTGCATCGAGTTACATTTTTTCAAAGTTATAAATAAAATTAATGTACATGAGCCGTGTACTGCTGTGAGGGTTTTTGCTTATAGCACCTCACCCCACACTGCGACACTGACTTATGGTGACAGCAGAGAGCATTCTATCTGTTTAATTAACAACATAATCAATTGTAAGATTCTTAACTTTTATAAAACATTTTTTTTCAGGAACTCATGTGATTTGTAAAATACAAGTTTGAACCATTACAAAAGATAATGTTATGAAAAGTGTATTTATTCAGCCGCTATTAAGAAGGGTTCAGGTCAATTACTTCCATTTTCAATCGGTATTCGTTAGTATACTATATTTTTGAGGGGTAGTTTCTAAAATAAACATTCAGTGCAGGATTTACCAAGACTCAAGCAGGTGTTCAAGTTGTTTTTGTTGTGGTTTTGTCTGTGATCTGATAGAGATACAGAAGTTAAAAAGTTATAAAGGGCTCTTAGGCCTGATCTTAAATTATTATGAAGTAACAGACCAGAAATTGTGTTTCCAGTATCATCAATTTTATTAACATTACTTTTCCGAAGTGTATCTTGTGATTATCGAAACAAAAGTCTGAGAATTTTCTTTTTGCAGTCTATTGTCTTTCATGGTCTAGTTGCTGTTTGTATTGACATGCCACTGAATTGAGGAATGGATACAATATTCTGGCTGAGAGGAAGATATAACATACGTATAATAATTATAAGCATTTTTTAGCTGAAAAAGGTTTTTTATCAAGTATGTGGCTAGGTTAGAGTCATTCCTTCTGTTATCTGCTCCTTTCCCCTTTGACGAGATAAGTCAAAGTAGAGTCCCTGAGAAATAAAGTGCCAACACATTGTCTCTCTCAGAAAGAACCTGGCTTTTCTCTGCCATTAACAGAAAAAGTCATTTCTCTTCCAAACTTCCTGAGAAATATCAAAACTTCAAACAATGCCAACAGATGCAGCTCCTCAGCATTAACCCTTATTTTGCTGATTCTTCAGAAATTTTGTTAATAGGGAAGGGGCTGGGGGATTGCAAATATAAGGAGGAAAGGACCTTATTTTCCCTTATTTTTATGTTCTTAGAAGCTTTTTTTTAATGTGATCGCGACAATGAAATGCATGTCACTTAGGCAAGCAGAGTTTGAAACATTGTACGTTAAATGATTTCATGCCAGATGAAAAAATTAATTCACATTTTTTTATTGCGTGTGACATTTGGTTAAAACTGGATGTCGCCAAGTAGCAAAAAAGAAATGGCTACCTGCTAAGCAAGCTTTGGAGTGAATTTTTATGACTTCAAACGAGATACTACAATTACTAACAAAATAATAATTTGTAGGTTACATTTTTAGCAGCCGCGACAAAAATTGCTTGCAACATGTGAAACCATTTACTATGTAACATGTGCAAGCTTATGTAATGCCAGAAGATTGGTACCAATTTCTCTTCTTTGGCAAAAAAAA